GGTTGATCCAGTTACGGAGCACCCGGTCAACATAAAACTGGTCTAGGGATTTGATAAGAGAGTCAGTGTGCACGTTATTGAAAGCGCCTTCGATGTCAATACATTCCGCCAGTGTATATAGTTTGCTATCAAAGGATGCACCTATGTAGTGGACAACTTCGTTTAAAGTGGTTTCCACCGATCGTCCCTTTACATAAGCATGCTGCTTAAATTTTAGGTCTTTGTCGGGTATACTGCTTTTAATCATACTATCGACTATCCGTTCCAAGGTTTTATGTAGGAATGACGTAAGACTTATCGGTCGATATGACTTAGGTGTCAAATAGCTAGGTTTCCCTGGTTTAGGTATAAATATTGCCATTTAATGGGGTATATGTGAATTTCAAGCATGCAGTAAATATCTGAGACAGATGTACGGAAACCTTCGATGTCAATACATTCCGCCAGTGTATATAGTTTGCTATCAAAGGATGCACCTATGTAGTGGACAACTTCGTTTAAAGTGGTTTCCACCGATCGTCCCTTTACATAAGCATGCTGCTTAAATTTTAGGTCTTTGTCGGGTATACTGCTTTTAATCATACTATCGACTATCCGTTCCAAGGTTTTAAATAGGAATGACGTAAGACTTATCGGTCGATAAGACTAAGGTGTCAAATAGCTAGGTTTCCCTGGTTTAGGTATAAATATTACCCTTGCATCCTGCCATTTAATGGGGTATATGTGAATTTCAAGCATGCAGTAAATATCTGAGACAGATGTATGGAAACCAGTCCCGCCTCCATCTGTAAGAGTGCCGGGAAAATGCCATCCGGCCCTGCAGCTTTATAGGGAGCGAAGCTCTTGATTGCCCCTTTAACCATATCAGATGTAATTACAATTTTCGTGTTAGCCTCCCCTTCCTCCAATATCGTCTCATTGTCTCCTCCATATCCTCCAGTCTCCTGCCCGTATCATCCACCATAGATTCCGGTTGGACATGAGTTTGGATAGGAATTTTTTATCTTCGATACGTCATTTACGCTGTCTTCCTGTTCACAGAAAATTTTCCAGGAGTCTCGTTTGGCTTTACGAACAATTTTCTTATATTCACCAAGTTTACTACGATACTCATCCCAGTATACTGCGGTCATTTTACGCCGTGCCCGGTTAAATAGTTTGCGAAGAGTTTTACCAAGGTTCCGGATCTCCCCGGTTACCCAGGGTTTCTCCTGAGCAGATCTTCGTTTTCGCAGAGGGCAGCTGTCCTCGAACGATTCAACCAAGGTGAGCATTTCTACTTTGGGGTCTATGTCTTCTTCATTTCGACATTGAAGTGTCCTGACATAAACAGTTCTTTAGTAAGGAACCGAACATTGTCCAATTAGTTTTAGACTTATTCCGAAACTTTATCGGCTTTGGTGGCGGCCGTAGTATTTTGAATCTTATGTACCGATGGTCAGAAAAGGAGTGATCGTACGAAACTCTCCAATCCTGAATTTCGTTTATAAGCTCTTCTGAACTTATAGTTATATCTTTTACTTCTTCTCTGATTCTATTGACGAAGGTTCGATGTGATCAAGTCTTTAGTAATAAGGAAATTCATAAGGGCTTGTCCCCTGCGATTGGTGTTTGTACTACCCCAAGCTACGTGGTGGGAGTTGGCATCACAACCTATTATAATTTTCTTATTTTTCCTTTGTGCCTCTTCGACCAGTTTCATCAGATCCGATGTTGGTGGTAGTGTCGGAGAATCGAAAGGCAGGTAAACAGATGCAAGGTATATGTTGCCACGACCTTGCTTCAGCACCGATGCTTTGGGTACCGTCTTAGGTGTTTTAGTGTCCTTATCGGGGCCGGTTTTGACATCCCTTTCAATCGGCGCTTCCCCAATTTTGGAAAGGACAGCTGCACCTTCTTTTGGCGAGTTAGTGGTAGCTTCCTCGCTTTTAGGATTTGATTCCTTAACGTTGTGAGTAGATGCTACTGATGCTGTGGTCTTAGGTATTTTAGTGTCCTTTTTGAGGCTTGTTGTAACAGCCCTTCCAATCGCCACCTTCCCAATTTTTAATATGACAGCGAAGTAATCCCTACCTTTATTCTTGGCAAGACTAGCCATAGATTTCTGGTCGATACCTATTACAAATAAAGTTCCCTCAGCTTCTTCTTTCCTGTAAAAGACATCCCATTTTTCCACGGCCAGCTCAGCATTTTTACCACCAAGAATTTCCTGTATACATTCATTAGCCAGTTTACTGCCCCATTCTTTTATGTAGACAGTGGACTTTAAGAGCACCGGAAGCTCGCTCTTCTTTGTCAGTTCCAGATTAGCGCCGTCTCAGGGAGGAGAGATACTTTCCACCAAGTTTTTTAGGGTGCTAACACATTGGTGAGATGCCAACCTCATCAACATCACGCCCATGCTGAACTCGCAGCTCACGCTTTCTATTCGTTGTTTGCCTTTTAAAGCGATTGCATGGTCCACTATCTTCTACCTTACTCTGTTGGTCTATTGGAGTTTTGGCTGTCGGATTACCGACATCGTAAACTGCATAGCAGAGATCGTCCCGGCGTCTTCTTCTGGTAATTTTGGCGTAAGATGACCGCTGTTTTCCTTTACCACTGTCTAGCCTCTCTTTCCTTGCTTTTCGGGGCTTCTTTTGAGATACCCGTACCTTCGAGGTTGATTTCGCCGATGTGATCGTCTTCGGAATATCTATCTTGGCGTTGTCACCCTTACTCTTAGGATTCTGACTTGAGGTTCCTTTGAGTGAAGTATGGCTTGGCTTCGACTGTGTATTAGAAGACGGGGAGCTCTTTTCCTTCTTAGGTTTATTCTCAGTTGTCAACTCCTCGGGAGACCTGATCCTTTTTGCCTCAGATCTTGTGAGAGAGTCCGATTTTTCCTTTGGAGTGTCGTGGGATTGACTAACTATGTATTCATGAAGCATCTTTTTCAACTTCCTCCTCTGTGCTCCAGAAAGTCTTTTCATAGTAATAGGTAGTTTAGCAATGCTATCACTCACCTGTTTCACCATTTGCTCTACTTCATCCTTTTTGGGATTTGCTATAATGGTGTTGTTATTATCATCTGAGGATTCAGAGTCGGAACCCTCACCTATATTTAAAGGCTGAGGAGCTTTCACCCCTGTGTTTTTGCCAATAGCATGCTGTACACTTGACGCATTGTCCGCCACGGAGGCCAAGGTATCCATCTCCGTAGTAGTATTTTGCTCTCTATTGCAGGATGACGACGACACGTGACTCGCGAGTGGATCAACGCTTGCCGCCGGTACTGGGTTATTTAGGCCCTGCACCGTAACTTTCATCATTTTATTTTTATTTTCATTTTGTTTTTTTCCAGTTTTTTGGTCCGGGGGTGGACAGATGGTCTATCACCACCCCCTATCCGCCACCCGGGGATGCGCTCGGTAGGAAAAACGGGAAAACACCCCCGAGAGAAATAACGGTACTTTTGTAAAAAAATTAAAATAAAAACATATAAAATTTGACCCTGGCTCTAAATGTGCTAATGGTATAAGTTTCAATATACATCAATTTAAAGGTATTTCAAAGACCTATCCACTGATATCCATATCGACCATATCGGATAATAAGCACTTCAGTTTTATAATTACATATTATAAAAATAAAGATTTTCGAAAATATGAAATTTTAAACTTAAATAACTACTGCATTTCATGAGTTATAGCTTTCAAACATACATCATAGCAAAGCCCTGAGGTACCGTTATATCGATATGTTTTAGAGATAATGGTACTTTTGTAAAAAAGTCAAAAGAAATAGCATAAAAATTCACACTGGCTCTATGGGTTAATGATGTTTGTCATCTTATACATCAATGGAAAGCTCTTTCAAAGACCTTTCCACATCGACCAGATCCGTTTATCAGTAATCGAGATATATCCAATTATATATCAAAATTTTGGAGGCCCATAACTCCTGGACCCTAATAGAACGGAACATTTTTTTTCATCACTGCATTCAGAACTTAAAGAACTACAAGGTAATAAAAAAAATATCTAAATATTAGCCGGATTAGAACACTACAATAATTATAAGGTAGTGTTATCAGAACAGCTGATCGTTTTTGCTATTATGTTAATTTTTCGCCGTGGTGTATAATTAATGTCAAACTTTGTTTACATTTTGTAAATGTCAAACTTTTTTCATTTTGTTAATGTCAAACTGGTTTCATTTTGTGTATGTGAATTTTGTAATTAAAGTGAAATTGTGTGATTAGGGTATATTTTTGTGTTTTTAATCTTTAAAAGTTTAAATATCAAAATAAATTATAAATAGATTCAAATTTATAAACATTTTTTGTTTAATATAAATTCGCTTTGATTTATTTGTCAGCTGTTTTTAAAAATTTTCCCTTACAGCCAATTCGCCTTCAAGTGCAGGAACAATGTCAAACTACATATAAAAAAAATATAACCAATTCGCCGATGACACTACCTTATAAAATTAATATACCTTGTGTAAAATGTTATTAACCCATTTCTATATTAAACAAATATTCATAATGCTAAACGTCAAATTGTTATCATGACAAAAAATTAGCAGGTACAGACGGCATTTATTAGGGTTATAACGTCGTTATGACAGTGTTTTCTAAACAATTGTTTATACAATGTTGTCTTGATAACAAACGTCATTTTATTGTAAAATATGTTTAGAATTTTGTTTTTGTGCAATTAAAATTGATTTTTAACATAAGTTTTTGTGAAATCAGTGTTTATTTACGAAATTTGCATTTAGTTTTAATTGTTTTTAAAAAATATGGCATTATTACAATAAAATTATCTGTGAGTTGTCGTGATAAAATCAGCATTTATGCATTAACATAAACAAAAAACTGACAATTTTTCTGACGACGTTTTGTCAAGTGTCGTGATAAATATTTGCCTAATATAGGCATGGGTAACAGAACTGCCACCACCTTATCTGAATTCGCCTTGCGCTAAACAAAGTTTGCTAATTTTGGTTTCAGATTGTTTTTTAACGCTGGAGAAATACGGCAACCCCATTCAGCAGCCATATTTCATTCGTCGATGTTTTTTTGCCAATTAATATTTCCCAAAAAATTGGAAATTTTTTGTTGCTACTACGTGGATTAGTTTATTAAAACTGCAAGTTACCAATTACAAAGTTTGCTCTTAATGGAAATATTGCATTCATATTGAGAAGATTCTAAAATCGTTTTTGGCCGGTATCTGCCGAATTAAAAATCGTAGAAAAAGGTAAGACTGTCCAAAAACATTTAATATTTGTTTCGTATATAAAAAATATTTTCTATTCCTTTCCCACAACAAAAAGGAAAAAAGTGTTCTAGTTAAAATGTTAAAATGTGATTTTACTACGAAGAATAATAATGATTTTAAAGACAGTACAGTGGTGTATAAAAAACAAAAAGTGCGGAAAAAATTAAAATTATTCTAAAAATCGTGTTAAAAGTAGTATGTTTTTTGTTTTTGAAGTTTATGAACTGCAAGTGTAATATATAAAGGTAAGATTTAATAAAACATTAAAATTATCAACTAAACAATTGAGAAAAAATTAGTAATCCTACAATATATAAAAAACAATCATTTTAATTATACATTATATAGGTACATACATACTTAGAGTGTTCCGAGGAATAGCCTTTTCAAGAAATTCATGTAGCAATGCCTCTCAATCGATGTGTATTAAATAAAATATCTTCGATTGGGTCTTTTCGAAATGGGTCTCAAAAATTCCGTCATTTTGAGCTGATTACGAGAAAATCCTAAAATTTTTGTAGAGTATTCTTGCTTGTTTTTTAGTGGGTTGTAGAGGCATATTATTTTCGCTTTTTATCGATATAAGTATTCTCTCATAAGTATTCGAATTTAGGTAAACTATGAAATGAAACCAAATTTAATAACATATTTTGTGTGCAAAAAAAATAAATTAATTTGATATATTGTCTAGACAGTCCTTAGGTTTGATATCACGCTTTTTAAAACTTGAAAAATTTACATTTACTTAAATTAAATTAGCTTTTTTTAAAAAAGTCCATAATATTACTTCACAAAAGTATACGAATTTTTCCTGTATTTCATATTTGATCATATTATACGAAACACAAATTTTAGAATCGAATGGTTTTTATGCTTTAAATTGTTTTAAGGGGTTACTATCAACCGAAATGATATATTTTGGCCCATTTGGTCCAAAATTTTTGGGGATTTGTACCCTCTTTTTATGTAATATCATTAAAATGGCGATTTTTGGCAATATTTTTAAAATTTTCTCTTTTTTTTTCCAGAGATAAAACCAAAATTTGATATTGGGATTTAATAGACCCCTTGGAGTATCTAAAAAAAATATTTTTTGTTACAAGAATCTGTATTTAAACGATCCAAGATATATTATTGATATCATTATTCTGTCGCTAATTCAATATATTGGAACTTAAGTCCATTTTCATAATACTAGGGTCAAAAATTTTCAGGGAATGTTTTCTTGTATATATTCTTTTAGATGTCAGCTTTTATATATTTTAAGTTTTCAATGTATTGTGGAAGTGTACAACTCCAAAACATGCCTCAAAGAAACACCATTCAATATGGTAGAATCATTATTTTTATATACCAATGACCTCAAGACTGCAAGCCACTATATCATTATGGTATAACTCAAAAATATCGATATCTGTTTAAATATTGATTACTATGATCAAAATAAACCCAAAATTTTGGACTTACAGTGTTATTGTAATGGGCAACATAAGCGTGAAAGTTGCGAATAGTAAAAACCGAAATCTACTGTATAGGATGACGTTTTGTAAAGACATGTTTTGGAATTGTATACCGATATAATGTATTGAACATTTAAAATATATTAGTGATAATATGTACATGAATGTATACTAGCCAACTTTGTCGGAAAATATCGACCCTAGTGATACGAAAAGGGACTTAAGAACCATACAATTCAATTAGAAACAGAAGAACGATACCAAAAATACATCTTGGAACTTTTAAGTACATATCCTTATAACAAAAATTATTATTTTAACATACCTCAAGGCGTCTATTAAATCCCAATATTAAAGTTTGGTTTTATTTCTTAAAAAAAAGGAAAAAATTGCAAATATGGTAAAAAAAAATCGCCATTTTAATGATATTACATGAAAAGATGGTACAAATGCTCCAAAATTGTGGAACAAATGGGCCAAAAATATATAATTTCGGTTGATTGTAAGCCGTTAACACAATTTTAAGCAAAAAAACACTCAATTATAATTTTTGTGTTTCGTATAATATGGTCAAATATGAAATATAGGAAAAATTCGAATACTTTTGTGAGGCAATTTTATGGACTTTTTTAAAAAAAGTTAAATCAATTGAGGTAAATGTAATTTTTCCAAATTTTAAAGAGTGTGATATTATACCTTAGGACTCTCTAGACAATATACAAAATTTAATTATTCATTTCACACACAAAAATATTATTAAATTATGTTTCTTTTCAAAGTACAACCAAATTCGAATACTTATGTGAGACACTGTATGTAGGTGTCAAAATTGTCGTAAGTTTTAGATAATACAGAAAAATATTTAAAAAATAGTTTGGCACTTGGTTTAGTCCATTTCAGAATTTTTTAAAATTTTTTATATATGTTCGAGGATCACGACACTTTACGTTTTGTTCCACTACTTTGTTCCATATAAATTATTTTCTTTCCAAGGTACATCTATCCCAAAAAAAATCTGGACATTAATTTAGCACAAAATAAAAAAATCATTAATAAATTTAAAATAAAACAAAACAATCAGCTAAATGTATTTAATTTCATTTTAAATTTCATATTTTGTAGAATATTTGAACATTTTGATAATATCATTCCTTCTCCTGGACATAATCTTCTCCAGAACAAATTTCATAGCATATATTTTAACTTTTAGGCCTTAAATTGGCAAAATTAATGGGGATTTATGCTGTTATTTATTGCTCCATATCATTTTAAATGTTCTCTATTGAATTGGTATCGAGAAATTATACTGGGCACTGCAAGCATGTCAATCCCGCTCGCTTCCAAGAAATTCATCTTTGCACTTTTAGCATATTTATGGTCGTTATTGACCAAGAAACGCTATTTAACTGAACCTTTGTCCTCCGATTTTTACTAAAGTATTTAATATTCTTTTGATTGTCTTACGGATCCATTTCTGCAACCAACATCTATATCGGGATTACAGCACGCCAAGGAAATTTAATGAATATCATCAAATTTCCTCCATTGTAATATGATTTCTCAGGAACACTTTAACAGTATCTCCATGATTGGAGGAGTCTAGTTGAAGTTTAATAATATCAAATTTTATGAAAAAATGTATTTAAGCTGTACTCCAAATGTTCAACTCCACTACAATTTTCCAAGATTTTATGAAAATAAAAAAAAATATTTGCAAATTTAATGAGACGTAGATCTCATGTATTTATTTATTATTATTATTTTACCTCGTAGAAGTAATAACGCCAAGAGCACGTAGTGCTTATGTTGACGATCAGAAAAGAAGTGTTTTTTAATTTACAAAACGTAAATTGGTGGCAAACAATATTTAGGTACCGTTAACGGTTTACTCGTTAGAATCTTCCAACAAAGTTGTAAATAAAGCGGAGCTTAATAAGATTTTAACGTTGCAAAAAATAGTATTTGCATATGCTATCAAAACAAGTGTAAACCATAAATCGAACTTGAACATTGCCGGACACCTTGCAACACTAAAGAATGTTGCAATTAACATTGAGATCTATATCTATAGAATTATTATTGTTATTTTTTTTTTTTTTGATAAAACAAGTGATCAAAGGTATCACACCAAACTGGGCTGGTAAAATAATGGTTCCCATAGAACAAAGCCTATGGGATGTAGTTTTCCGCAGACTACATACTGCTCTCAAAGGGAAAATGGTTTTAAAGCAGACCATGAACTGGGTTCGTAGAAAAAGGGTTCCCATAGGACAAGGCCTATGGGATGTAGTTTTACGCAGACTACATACTGCTCTCAAATGGAGAATGGTTTTAAGCAGACCATGAACTGGGCCCCCTAAAGGAGGGGCATGGTCATAAATGACCCAACCACAAAGTGGTGTATTTAAATTTAGTATGTATATTAAAGTAGACGTAAATATATTCTTGTGAGCATTTTAAGTGATATTCAAACAAACGTTAAGAAGCGTTAGACCTCGTAGTGTATTGTAAAATTGCGATATGTGATTCAAAGTCCCTAGGATTGGCTGGTCCTGTCAGAATCCAGCCAAATACAGTTTTTTGTGCCAATAATGACCCTAATATATTTTGCTGTACTTCCGGTAAAATTATACGATGATATAAATCCGCACCAATAAGAACATCTACAGATTTGAATCCGCCAAACGAAGATTTGGCAATAACTTTTTAATATCGACATTTACGGAAGTTGAAGGCAAATTTCCCGGAATTTTTGGTAAAACAAATGCGTTTGTACTAAGGTTTGCTGAAGAGTCAAAATCGGAACCAATTTCCACAGGACAATATTTAGAAACTCCCATAACTACATTATTGCGTGGGAAGTTTTAACCTTTTCCGTAATCGTTCAGAAATGTAAGAGCACTCCGAACCCGAATCAATTAAAGCGCGGACCTGATTGGTTGGTTGGTTAACGTGGTAGTTCACTGCACGCAAACAGTCAAGTAGAGTCTAAGAGACTCCGTTTTGAACGGACCACACCACTCGTCAGATGTCTTGTTGTATAGTGTTAGATCCAGCCTGTAGCCGTGAGAAATCGCAGGATGTCATTGAGCTTGACTCCAGATATCTCATCCAGGCTGGATATGAAGTAGCTGCCTAGAAAACGATTTCTATTAACAGCTAGAGCAGGGCATTCGCGGAGAAGATGGAAGACCGTTTCTTCCTTTTCCCTTTCTTTGCAACTGCGACAGTTTTCATTGAAGTGGAGCCCAAGCCGACTTGCATGTCTGCCTAGCACCCAGTGTCCTGTTATTACAGCTATCAACCTCGATATATCCCGTCTACTCCGGTTTATGAGGTGTCTAGTGCGTTTTTCATTAAAGGAAGACCACATTTGCTTGGCCCCTTTGCATGTGTCCAGATTAATCCACCTATTTTCAGCCTTCTGAAGAAAGAATCTGAAGATGCTACTCTTGATAAAACTTAACGGAGTTGCTACTGAAACGGCGTTGGAGATATCAAGAGCAGATCCCGTTCTGGCAAGATCATCTGCCCGTTCATTGCCTTGATAGTCCCTATGCGCAGGGACCCAAATAAGGGTAATGTCAGACAGGCGACCCAGCCTTGACAGATCCTTCTTGCAATGTCTGACTAATAGGGAAGAGGTAGTATAGTATTTTAGAGAGAGAAGTGCCGCTTGACTATCGACAAAAATTCCTATGTTGCCATGAATATTGAGGTCATGTAGTATTCTACAAGCTGATATTATTGCAAATATTTCAGCCTGAAAGACACTACAGTTGTTG